CATTGTCTGTATTTCTTTGAGCTAAGGTTTAACCAGATTGGTGTGACCTTAAAGTCCTCCCTCTTTCCTTAATAGATTTGAATTCTACTTCTGACTTGTTACAGACACAGTGTGCATTACATGTTTAATGTAGAAATAAAAAACACTTGACAAAAAGCCTTTTAAAATATTTGCTAAATAATAATTTCAATAATTTGCATTTCTCTACAGCACAGTGGTCTTTTAGGTTCCTGATTTGCAAGATATCTTACTCTTTGTAAGTTGCCCAAGTCCTCTTTTATTGAAACCAAGCATAGGACAGAAATGAAAATAAATTATAAAGGTGTACTCTTGGAATCAGGAATGAAGACTGTCCAAAGACTGACCTTCAGTTTTGAGCTTTGAAGTTCAAAAGTGGACAGGTGGAAATATTGTGTTCTTCATTGCCCTTTGGTGCGAGATATATTCTAGGTTGCAGAGTATGTGCCAACAGCAGCAAAATTATCGCCCTCCTCCTGCTACTGTAGTAAGTCAGCAATGGCCCTTCTGTGGTCAGAATGGCAAATTCAGCAGCAACTATTCGACAGGGATTTACAGAAACTTCCCCATGGCTGTTAGGAATCTTATTCAGCAGTGTCTTTGAAAACCCGATTCTGTGCAGAATTAACTATGTAGAAATGACCTCAGTTGTGATAAAAGGTATTTTAAACAAATCTAATTTGTAATTTCACTGAATGTGTGTTTTACATTTAACGCCACAAAGTCTGGTAGATACCTACACATGTATTTTGCATTCATAAGTTTTACAGTGGTTCAGAATTTTTTTCCATATTAAAATTTTTTAAAATCCTGGCTTTATAGAGTCAGTTAACCATACAAAGCCACTATACATCACTTAGGTTTGTGATGAAAGAATGGAATTGCAGCTGTGTGAGTACTAGAATACCCAAACATGAATTAGACTCACAAGCATTTGGCAATAGTTCAGAAAAGGAGCTTAATCTGGTTTCATCTGAGACTGCTTTTCTCTGTTCTGCAGCATCCCCCGAAGATGTTGTGTCTGATACCAGATCACAACGTAATGGGAGTGACGCAGAATCGAGAAAGCCCTGAGAAACCAGGGGCACATTTGCTTTTCTCCAGAGATTTTCTTTCTCCTACTTCTTTTTTCCCTCTCCCACGTTCCAACTCTGAAATTCAAGGTCATTCACCTATTAGATGCATTAATTATAAGCCAAAAAAGCAGTATTCATCGTACTGTGATCTCAGTCATATCTATAATTAAGTGTAAATATAATCTTCCCTTTTAGAAATGTACCACCCACCCATTACATTTAAAGTGCTGACTGAAATGAAATAATAGTTCAGAGCAAGATGATTTTAGTTTAACAAGAAAAAAGTTGATAATTTAAGCTTCAAGCAGGGAGTTCTATTTTTGATTACCATTCAGTTATAAATCTAATTTGAGATATATGCTGCTTTTCTGTTACTCAAGTTTAATTCATGGTTTGCTTTCTTGGTTGTATAAGCAGAGTTCAGTGGTTGATCAAGGTTGTTAAGAAGCTCCCCCGAAACGGAATGGGGGCAGAGTTGAGAATGTGTTCGAAAGACATTCTGAGACCCATATCTGATGTAAAACAAACAAATCTGATGTAAAACAAACAACCAAATTTTAATTGAAAAAGACACTTAGAGAGTGCTGTATTTGGGGATTTGAATGGCCAAGTTAGGAATGGCCATTTGCAGGGGAATTGGCTGCAGAGGGTGAACCCCAAAACATTGCAACCTGGTTGACAAAGTCGGTGTGTTTTATTCGTTGGTTATGGTATTGTAAGTCTTTTGGGAAAAAAAATAGGAGCGAGTAAGGGGAAGGGCTTGTCTCATCACACTGTGGACAGTTAAGTAAAATGCTAAACTATGGGTTTAAGATTTACAGGTTAGCTCTGCCAGATGCCACATCTGCCTCCAGTGTTTCCTGGCAGATTCGGGCAGCCTATTACTGGGACCCAGCATAACCGCAGAACATGAGCTTGCACAATGTGAAAAACCTAAAACCATTATAATCCTGTTTAAGGCTAGGATGAATTTGCCCATTTGAAAGCAGACGTAGTTTTCAAGCTTAACTTTTATCAAGCATAAACTTGTCTTTAGATATATATATAATATATATATATACACACACACACACACACACACATATATGCAGGTAACTTCATAATATAAATGAATACCTTATCCATTTTGTGCAAAATTTAATTTAAATCACACGCTGTTCACTTTTTAAAATTCGTAAACTCAGATTTTTCAGCCAGTGGAAAATTTATCTTTCTCATTGCTACAGAGAGTTAAGTATGTGACGTAAAGGCCAAACAATAGTAAATGGTCATTGTTCACTTTATAAGTATACTCTATAATAAGAACACATATATTTTTATCTTCATTTTCCCTAAGGAGGTGTTTAGGGCCCCCTTAAATGTGAGGAAATGTTTATTTTGTTGCTTTAGAAGAATGATTCTATTGTCCAAGGGAGAAAGAAATAGGAACAAACAGGTCTAAGGAGAAAGAAACAGGAATGTGCTTTGTGAAAAAAATAAAGATTAACAGGAACCACTAAAGGTTTGTAAGTGCTATCTGGTCCTAGTACTATGTTACTGCACATAGTCCTTGCGCCTGCATATATAAGAGTTAGATGTGTGATTTATTATGACTAGCCCATGAAATTATTTTCTTTTAAATTAACAACAGTAAGGTCAACCACAGCCTGTAGCTGTTTTGTAGTTATCATTTTATATTTTTCACAGCTCTATTGTGAATGCTGCTAAAAGACAGTGTAGCAAGTGTGTGTTTTTAGATTGACCCCTCGAATGCATTTAATTTCTTGAGAGTGAAAACCTTTGCCACCAGGACCAAGAAGAATTAACCAGTGGTTAAACTCATTTAAAAACACAAGCAAGCATTTCAACGTATTTGCTCAGCCCTTTTCTGAGTATTTTATATACTTCTAGAAAAAGGAAAATGAAGAAATAGGGGTGATTTGTGTCTAGAATATGAAGTTATTTTCAAACTCCTTTCCAATGAAATGAAGACTCATTTGTGGATTTACCAAACTGTAAGGAGGTTGTAATTTCAAATCATTCACAGCTTTATTGATGGAAATTTCGAAGAAAACTTGGACACAGACTTCACTATAACTTTCTTTGTTAATAAGAAATGCCAAGAGTGAAATTTATGTTGAAATTCAAACATTTTTGAATGCCACTCCTAAATGATGAATTATTTGTTACTAGATTTCTGATTTATACAAAACTTTATTATAATAAGCCTTATGTTTTAGTTTGCATTGTGTAGTGTTTTAATATGTCTCTTAGGTTCAAAAGAGGCAGTAGCTGAGCATATAGATGTCAGATTTTTATCTGATAAATCTGGTTTTATCAGGTATTTATGTGGTAAACATTAAGATACTAGCAATGAGTTTATTACTCAAAATGTGCTTTCAATCTGAAATCTCATCCTTGAAGTTGTATTTTGAAGTAATGTTTATTACATATCTCTTGAAAAAGTCTTGAGCTGGAATCAGTAAAGGCGAGCTTGTCAGCAGCTGATTAGTCCTTTATATATGACTCATCCAACACTCAGAAAAACCCCTTGGAATAGAGAGGTTCTCTTTATGATATTTAGCTATATGGCAGTGGAAAGGGGAGGTTTGAATTTTTGATTTTCCAGCTTATGGGTCATATTTGACCAACTGCTTTCACTAGAAGACATGCCACTTTGTTGAGCTATTTAGGAATCAAAAAGACTGTCTTAATTTAAAACAAGGACGCTTTGTTTTAGTTGGTGACTGCCTTGTGAAATTTTTCAGTTCTCAGCGGGTTAACCAGGGAACAGGGGCAGAGTCATAATTGGCCTATTTAGAGTATTTTGCATGTGAATAGTGTGTTAGTGAAGCATCCCTAAGTCTGTTGTGAGTGACATGGTGATTAGAATTTAGATTAGGGAAAACACATTCTGTACTTTATCAAGGACAGTAATTAGTTCAGTCAGTAAAAGTTGATTACAAGTAACGATAAAGTTAGATTTTTAGTACTTAATTTTAAAATTTCTTTATTAAACAGTAAATTTGTTCTTAATATAAATGGTACTATCTACTCTTGTTTTATTGCATATCAGAATAATTAAAAGAACAATGTGCTCAATGCAGAGTATAATCAGACGATTTATATATTATGGGTAAGTTTCTATGTAGTTTTTAGAAAATGTAATATTATATATAATCTTTCTGATGTCATCATTTTTAAAAGTTTAATGATTGTCACACTGATAGGTTATTGTGGAAGTTTTCTAGTGTTCAGGTAAATGTTCAATCTGTGGGATGTGTCTTAGCTTCCGATAGACCTCAAGAGAGCATTCTGAAGTCCTTTGTGGCTGTTAGCGTGGAATATCTGCTATTTCTGTAATTTTGAGAGTTAGTGTGAGGATTTGAATTTCCTCTTGTTTCAGTTGGCATTTTCTCTTCTGTGGGTGCTATGACAGTTCGTGGAGAATCATGATATGCAGTACAGAGAGGCAGGGTTCTCAGTCGAGTTCATAGGCTACACTCACTCCCAGTGCGTGCAGCCGGGGGAAGTTGTGTGCGTTCACAAAATGAGATTCTTCTTGTTAAGGAAGGGGATGAATAGTTCCCAGATAAGAGCCTAAGTCTAGAGAAAGGAAACATTAGTCTTATATAAATGCCATTTGTTTTGTGAAATTAAAACGTGAGTCATCTTAAAAAACTTAAAAAAATATTGTTTAAAGGGAATCATCTACTTTCCTTCTAAAAGTAAAGAATTAAAAATTCACAAACTTTGTGATAGCTTCTTAGACTGCCTTTCTTTTGAGTTTTTGTTTTGTTTTAACTGTCTCAGCTTAGCAGATGCCATTTGCTTTATTGCATTGGTTTAAGTGCTAACAATCAGTTGGGAGGTGGTGAAAGTAAAAAATTAACCTTATATGTTTGTTTTCCCTTTTTAACCTTTTAGCAGAGTCTCCTTGGAGGTGACATGGATATGGGCAACCCAGGAACCCTTTCGCCCACCAAACCTGGTTCCCAGTACTATCAGTATTCTAGCAATAATCCCCGAAGGAGGCCTCTTCACAGTAGTGCCATGGGTAAGGTATTCCTTTGTTTGAATGCCTGAGGGATGATTATGCCTTTTTCTTTTTTTCTTTCTTTCTTTAAAATATCGCCCCCTCATCCTACCTCGCACCCCCAAAAAACCATAAAATTTGGCTCAGTTGTCATCCTGGAGACTTCACCCCAGTACACTGAGTAGGTATGTTAACAACTTATGGTAGCAGAACTTTTTTGGTGTCTGCTTATTTCTAGTTTTCTCTTGGCTGCACCCATAAGGAAGCTTTTAAAAGATCAAAGTAGCAAAAAGTTAAATGTCTTCATTTTTAAGAACAAGGCAGCATTTGATTTCTGCTAGTATCAGATGTGATCATGGTAACTACAGTTTGCTAAGGTAATGATTTAAGGAAATGTGGTATCATCTAGAAGTCTTTGTGGTTTAATCTATCTTAGTTAGGAAAATGGGCATTTGGGAGCTGACAGCATCTTCATTTTCTTTCAGAGGTACAGACAAAGAAAGTTCGAAAAGTTCCTCCAGGTTTGCCATCTTCAGTAAGTACTGCTTGTTTCTGCTTTGTATATTGCTTACTTTGTTCTGTTTTGTATCGATGGGAAGGAGATAGAAGTAAATGAGTTTCCATGCGCCCAGAGCAGCATGTTTATCTAGAAGGTGGATGAGGTAGAAATGACCTGCACATCCAGCCACCTGACCCACATTGGAGTGATTAATTTCTCCTCCTGGAAGACTGGGTGGTTATGTTGATATTCAGCAGGTTAAGCTCTAAAGAGAGCCTTGAAAAGGTGCCTGAAGTTTGAGGAGTTTTACCTGTACAGGGCTTTCAAGAGAATGAGTATTAGTTTCATGTGTTGGTTAAATTCTTTGTCAGTATTATGATGATTTATGGATTTGCATGCGAAAGGAGATTTGTGGAGAGGATTTAGGAAAAATTTACATGGGTTTCAGCCCAGAGTGCAGGAAGAATGTCTCTATTTTCTGGAGAGGTTGCTGAATAAAGGCTGCAAAGGTAGCTGCATCAGTAGCCATTTGTGTCTTTACTACCAGGTGACAACTAGAAGAAGTCAGCTGTAACCAAGAGCATTCTGGGTCTTTTTAATAGCTGGAGCTCTATGCAGAAGTTGCTAATATCCCCCACCCGCCCTCAGGTCCCCAGCACAGCAAAAGCTGGTTGTAATCACAACTTAATACATGATATCATATTTTGAATTCTTACATTCCTAGAGAATTGTATTTAATTTTGTTTAGGACTAGTCCATTTCTGGTAATTTTCTCCTTACATAAAATGAAAACATAGTTTCCTCTCTTCTTTCTCTGTTTCTTTATCCTTCCTCTTTTTTTCATTCTTCCTTCCTGTTATATAAAGTTTTGATTTAATTCTGTAGAGTACTAGTATTCTTTGAAAAGAATGCTAATGAACTTTATTATGTTTTTATACTTTAATATAAAATCATATTTAGATTTCTTAAAGTATATTACCAATCAATGCTTGCATATTAGTTTCATTTCCTTTTTGATGTATTAGAAGAATAATAGGTTTTGCAAATGTGCTAAGATTAGATTAACCCAAACACCTGTGTATTTGACTTGATTTCAGTTCAGCTCATCCGAACAATTATTAAATGAATGTATCGGAATAAGTCTTATCAGGAAAAAGAGTAAATTTTGTGTACTGATTATCATAGAGTTGGTGATGTTGAAGAAGCATCACAAAATTATTCATAAATATAGAAAAATATTGTGTAAATAAGATTGCCAATGGTGTATAAAGTAGTCACTTTCAACTATCAATACATCACTTAAAATTGTACTCAGTTGTTTATTCTTTGAATTTCTATGTTGTATTGAAATTGACTGATATACCCAAAGGATTTTATCGCATATTTTAAGCTTGAAGTCAGGGGTGGATTTAATGTTGATGAAACTTTAGCTTTTAATAGGTTTTATGACAACTTCAAATGATATAGTCCTAACAGCTGTTTACATTTTAAACATGCCTGAACTTAATATGGACAATATTAAATGCATTTAGTGGACCTTTGAATGTTCTGAAACAATGGAATAACTATCCTATAAAAGCCATAAAAAACTTAAAGCTATCCTACTCTCTTTATGCCTCGTATTAAAATTAACTTGTTTTATCCAGTGCTAAGATTAGGTAGAAATCTAGACAGTTTCTAAGGAGTGCATTGGTGTGGCATCGGATGGCATGCATATGCTTAATCATTGTCAACAGCAGTTTTCATAATTCGTTATAAATGTTTAAGTATTTCCCTATAGCTAACTGGCCCCTTTAGAAAATTTTACTGGTACAGTGTTTTCTTTGCTGTTAAGACAATTTAGGTGTTGCTGCTAGGTTGTGATACGTTCAGAAATATAAAAATATTTTACCTTTCTTTCCCAATAAACAAAACTTGGGAATTAGGAATTTAGTTTTATTCCATTTAATTTTTGGTTTTCATTGGTCAGTTTAGGATTTACTCTTCTTAGGAGTTTTATCTTGACTAAATGTTTTCATGGTCCTTATGAAACATTTTGATGAATAGCCTTTTTTTCTGAAATATGAGGAAGAAAATACAATTAAAAATGAAATTTTTATCCCTATTTTTTGAGCAAGAAGAACATGTTTAGGTAATTTTATAATTTAGTCATCCATTTACTCATTACCTAAAAAAACTCAGCTCTATTTTCATGGCAATTTAACTTAGTTTATGTAAGCTTTGTTGTAAATATCTATTGCTTATTACTTACAGCAAGATCCACATGGCTTACCACCACACAAAATATTTATTTTAACTTGATTCCAAAAAAGGTCTGCAGTAGACACAGTCAGACCTTTCCCCCAGCAGATCTGTATTTCTATATTTTTAGACCTCTACCATGCTTTTTTTTTAAAGCTCAAATAAAGTTATGACTATTTGATAAGAGATACTTCTTAAATTTGTTTCAGTATGTATGAGTATTTGTATAACAGATACTAAAAGATTAGAGATAATAAAAGATTTCCTTTGGAGTGATTATGACTACATAAAGACACTTATATGTTTTCTTTGATACATATTTACCATGACAAATAGTAATATATCTGTCACAATCTGTTGTGGCAACTCACTTTCCCCCCCATTTTGAAATGGGCCCTCTCTTTCCCTTATGATAAAAGGAAGAAAACTTAAACGGTGACACTGCATCATCAGGTATTATTTGTGACATGCCTGTGGTGCAGAGACTGGACTTCTGTTCCCATTAGGCTGGCTCTTCCTCCCAGGCTATCAGGAGAGAGAGGGGATTGCCTGGCCCTGTTTTGAAAACACTGCAGCATCTGTGGGAGAGAGAAAACATAGGCCTGGCCCGACATCATGCCATGGATCTGGCAAGATCCACGAATGTATGTTTGTACTGTGTGCTGCATCTAGAGACTTTACATCACTGTGGAAGGATGACACGATGATGGGATAACAGTAGACCCACAAGGCAGGGTCTACAGGACAAGCACAGTGTGTAGGGGGGAGGACTGTCCCTCTAGTGCACATAGACCAGTACTTGCTAGGGAGATTATTTTTTTTAAAGGAAAGCCTGTGTGAAAGACAGCTATCTAATTGCCCACGAGAGCTCTGCTTATTACCGCAGTACATTTTTATCTTTTCGATTCATATTTTAGTATGTTGCTCTTTTTAGTCACGTCCCAATTTCTCGTAGGCCTCATTTTTTGCGAAGACCTTAGTAATAAAGTGTTGTCTTTGTTGATGTCAGAATTTATTTTGCATGTCTAAGCTCTTGAATCTACATGAGAACATCTTGTTTTGCTAGATTTCTACATTTTGGTTTTCCGTTTCAAACCATATTTCGTCTTAAACTCAATATTTTGCAACTTTACTGCTCATTTCAACAAATTTGTTTTATATAGCCTAATAATCATACATATTGAATCATGAATTCGTACAGAGAAAAAAGGACTATAGTAAATTAAAGTTTTGGAAAAAAAGGATTCATGATTCTTGAAAGAAATTAACATGAAAGTACTAAAATCTAGAAAGTAGCAAAAAATTTTACATTGTGCTGTTTTAAGATACTTTCATCAAACACACAAACAAAACAAAGGCATTACTTTTGGAAACTTTATTCTGCCCATCAACATGTAAACCTGTCAAACCTCTATCTTAGAATTTGAAGTATTTCAGAATTATATACATTTTATCAGAAACTGTTAACAACTACAAACTTTCTACTTCAAACTTTGGTGGAATTTGTCTCTACTTGTAATCTGATTTGAAACTTTAATGATGGTCTCACCATGACCCCAGCTGGAATCTCTTGAACATCAGATTTTTCTGGAAACAGAATGTTTTATCCTTAGAAATGGTTTATGATCTCTCATCTCTGGTGATCTTTCCTAAAACTGTACTTTTCAGTAAAGTCTTTTTTCTACGTTAAATTACAGAGGGGTTTTGTGTATGTTTTTTGTTTTAAAACTTAGGAAGACCTGGCAAACTTTAAGTGGTCAGAGATGATTTGGGACACATGGATGCTAAGATAAACAATTTCTACTATTATAAAGATTCTAAAATAAGATTTGGACACTTCAAGAATATTTGTGACATAAGTTAATCAATAGGTAGGTTTGAAAAATAAAAACAATGTGTATTAGATACTAGGTTCACCAATTTTCATAAGGAAAGAATTCTTAAATAAAATGAAATATTTAAGTCTGGATTAGAGTTTCCTTTACAGAAGTGATTATTAGGAGTATCAAGAAAAATGAGTAATGCTAATGGCCTTAAATGCCCTACGTATTTTGTGTTATATAAAAACTTTCATATTTGAAGATTTCAAACATGATATTGAATCCATATCTTGAGCTATTTAGGGAAAACCCCCTTTTTCCCAAGTGCTTGAAGAAATCACAAACAATTTAAAAGAGATATTGGTAAATTGTTTTTTCCTTATTAGCGGGCTGGAAATTATGTATGATTTTAAAAATCAGTACTGAACTCAGAAATATATAATTTCCTACATCACTTTTGAAACTGATCATAGGGAAATCAGAACAATGCTTTTTCATGTCAACAAATTTTAACAAGTAATAATACAATTTTCTTTAATATGAAAGTTTTATTGAAATACAATATCCATCACAAGGGAACTAAATATCAGCCATCTGGGCTCTATCCTTTTTAGGAAAGTCTAGAAGTAGCTGATTGTGTGATAAGATGTAAAAAGAGGAAGCTCTTCAAGGTTCATCCCTGCAGATAGATACTTTGTGAAGAAGTATAACTGCAAGTGTTTAAAATATTAAGATAGCTCTTAGTATTCACTTTTAAACTTAGTGTACCCATTTTCTAATTAAAGATATTGGAATATAAGGTTTGGATATTAAAATTGTGCTTATTAATTAATGTTTAGGCAAGAAGGAGGTTAAGAGTGGCACAATTAAGTCATCTCAAATAGGACAAAACTATTCACACAATTTACACGGCATATATAACATGACAATGGGCAACAGTGAAAGCTGAGAAAATATTCATGACAAAGAAAGTTT